ACATTTTGCACAAATGTACCTTAAGTGACGGAGGTGTGCACTAAGAAGGGATTAGTAAAATTACAACCCTATAGGTGTAAAATGGGGGTTGGAAATTTATATGAAACTTCGTAATTTTTTTGATAGTAGCGTTTTCTAACTCACTGTAAATACTCCTTATTAAAAGTATTCCGAATATACCTATCATCATCAGCAGCCTTTACTAGTCCACTGCTGGACATAGGTCTCTCCTCAGAAAGGAGGTTTTGGCCTGCTATACCTCGCTGGCCAGACGGGTTGGTATAGGGTTTGTGTCAAGTTTTCCTTCTCTATGCAGTGCTGTTGTCCTGCGTAGTTTGCTACCTTAGTCGCCTCTTAAGACACCCACGGGATGAATAGGGGTGGTGAAACTCTGTATTCTTAATCCGTCACCACACGGAGACACGGAATATACCTATAATCTTGATTTTTTGTATTCTCTACGATGTTTGATTTCGACCACCACGCGGACAAAGTCACACAATCTTTGCCTAATTTCTCGTTGTCAATAAAAAAATAACTGTTTCTCTTTCTGTTTCCAATTTGGAATCAGACGGCTGTATTTGAGATCTATCAACTTATTATTTTCACGATATGTCACAAAAAAAAGTACCTAAGAATATATTTTTATATAGCTAACCACATTTATGTTTAAGCTTTCTTGTAAAGAGGTAGTTACAAATAACAATTCTTAAATGTCTATATAACAATAAATACGCTGTAAGGAGTTGATAAAACACCAGTTGTTTGTACAACAAGAGCTTCAATGTCCGCCGGCGAGGTTTCTACTAATAATATTTAACGAAGCTTTACGCGCATTAGTTGATACTTGATAATATCTGCGAAACATCAACGCTCAAGTAATCCGGGGAATACAAAGGAGGCTGAGTTTGTGTAACCTCCACGAAACGCTACAGCCGCCGCGCCGCGGGGGGATTTCAGCCAAATTAGAGACGAAAGCTATCCTTTAACGCACCACTACTCAAAACTAAATTATCACAACAGACAGGTATGTAACAGAAATTAAAATATAATTAAAAATTCTGTATATTATTTAATCAAAGTTTAATATCTAAATATTTGTTAAGCGACATTCCGAATACCAGAAAGCTAATAAATTATGCAGAAATTAGTATTGAATGCATTCATTTAGACGAACATCTTGAGATACATGTATAAATATGTAAGGCAGTACATAGCCACTAATAACTATTGACGATTCTTTCAAGCGATCAGTATCACAGGTCTAAATCCTTAGTTCATTATCATCATCACAATCTCAGCCAAAACCAGTCCACAGCTGAACAAGACCCTCCCCCTTCCCTCTCCAAGATTAGATGATTATAAGAAAATTATGTGTTTGATAAATTTAAAAATCCCGTCTTTGATCAAATAAATTATCGAAGGAACCCATAGATATTACTGTTTTATACATGCCCTGTAGTTTTTTTTCAAAGTTTCTAGTATTTAAGATATAAGTAACAATTTATCCTTGAAAATATGCTCATTATAGAATTTAACATTTTCTTGAATACACGTCTCTCTGTCATTATGCTAACGTATTTGATACTTGAAATTAAAAAAAAACTACAGGTAGGTAAACATAATTAAATAGGCGGGCAGATTCTACTGCCAGAATGTTTCGGTAGAAAAATAGATTTGCCATTTCTGGACATTCGTTTATGTTAGTATTACTTATATTCGAGTATCCACCAAACCTATAATTATATTAAGTCTTCCAAAGCCTATTAGTATTCCAGAAAGCGATAACCGAAATAGCCCACGACCCTTTCCCTGTAATTATTAATGCGAAAGTTTGGATGGATCAGTGAATGTTTGTTACTCAATTATGTCGTAAACTCGTGACGGCTGAACGAATTCCCGGGGGACGAGAGAAATCGAATACTTACTCAAGCCGCAGGCAAAAAGTGTATATATACGCGTGGAACGAGCAGTCATTATGAAAAAGTATGCATGTTGACACTACTAAGACTATGCTCCACATTAGCAAAGCTAGGGACAAGGCAAAATAGCGGTTACACGTCTACATAAAATTGCCAAACGAATTACCCAACGATATTAGATGTCAGTAATTATTTTTTTAAAAGCTCTTTCGCTGAACACCGCCGATCTATTGATTCTTTGAATCACAAAAGTACCGTAGGTAGGTAGGTACGTAAGGTAGTACACAACCAGGCGTCAATAGAACGTGTTTAGCATGTATTTACAAGCTTAAAACGGTACCGGGTGGGGTAGAAAGTGCAATGATGAACCTACGTCTGACTCTTGCTAAAAATATTAATAATTGTTGTCTTAGTTGCTAGATGTAATAAATATAAAAAAAAAGACGTGAGGGGACCCCCGGTCGGTACGAAGTTCCTTTCGTTTTATGGTAGACGTTTGCTAAGGTGTCTGCAAAAAGTCTTGTTACACATTTTTCGGTCTCATACGCCCAGACTTAAGAGCGTGTGACGCGCGATAAGTCTTTATCTAGTATGCTGAAATTAAAATATCTAGGAAACGTATAGTTACGTTACTACTTTACCAAAGGTATTGAAGATAACTAAAAAGAAACATTTCGGGTACCAAGTATGTCATAAATATGCTAAATACTTTGATAATAAGAAAAACAAGTTGCGAAACCACAAACAATATACGAATTGTGCATAAACCGACGTATTGCGCAAATAATGAAAATAGCCATGTCAGAGGTTGATCGCGGCCGTCTTCCTGGCTTCGCGTAGCTGTGTACTGACGTTGGCTCGGAATGGCGGCACTTGCATATTGTGAAACTGTCTGCAGTCTACATACTGGATTGTCTCCGAATAGAATAGAAAGCTAGGTACAGAATGTGACGCCGTGGGCGACCGCTAGACGTAGCGCAAACGATGGCGTCGAGCAAAAATAAAGGAAGCTATGTTGATCGATCGCGGCTATATCCGTTCGATGTGGTGACGCAACACTGCAGCGTGGCCAGTATACACTGCGCTCAAGCGAACACTGTGGTTCTCTGACGCATTTAGTTTCGCGATAAGCGGCGCATTGTTTGACACGATGTGATTACTGTGATGGGGAAGCGAAGCTGATAAAACATTAAAGGCACATCGGCGAAATATTGTGCATTTTATAATGCGAGTATCAACATAAATCATACAAAATGCACAAAATTCTTCATATTATGCATGCATTGACACGTGTCATTCGCAGCTGTCATTGAAACACCACGATAAAGAACACGAAGAGATTTGATATATCGTGTTAATAGGTAGAGGTAAACATTGGAGTATAGTAACACACAAATGTTGGCAAACAAAGTCTGGTAGCTCGGACAATAACCTTTGTATATTTTTGGATGATTTGCTAACTCTACCAATACAGACGAAGTTGTTATACTCAACGATGATCCACTAAATGCACAGATAGAGTGATTTACTGATGAATTGGAGAAAGAAAATTTAAGAACACACAGCACCAACCACAACCATGTGATTTTCTTTTGCCTTGTTTTTCATCTAACTGTAATTAACAACAGTTGCGTAATATACTTAAGGACACAAAATTAAGTATCGGGCCGTTTTTTTTACACTAAATAAAGGTTGACGTCAATCAATTTCAAAGATCCATATCATGTCGCATCGTGTTGCAGCGCGTGCGTCGTAGCCGCGCCAGTGCAGCGGTGGTGGAAGGCGGTGCGCGGGCGCGAGGTCACCGTGCTCGCCGCGCGCCGTCGCCTCGCTCTTATTGCCATTAATATGAATTTCCACGGACATCCATAATTAATTGAACGGACTATCTTATAATAAATCTACCCAAAATATATAATAATCCTTAATATGTCCCGCTTGAATGAAAGGTTGAATTTCATCGGTTGTAATTGTTAATGTTACAGTAATGTGGACTTTTCTTTGAACATCTTCGTTACGTCCAAGATAATAAACGAATTTTTGAAGTTAAATATTCTAATTTTAATCCTATACATCAGTTAGTACTCTATTATCAGTTTTAGTCGATTTCTTTTATAATAATAATAAGCTTCCCTAGGTATGTATTCATTTTCAGATGGAATAAGGGAAAAGGAAAAAAATTACAGAAAGGGAGCAAGGGATATTGCTAGTCTCGTATGGGTAAAGAGACTGAGAGCAGTAGCTCGAAGTAACCGTGGTCGCGTAGATCTTTTCCGTCCTATGATTGAAAAGGAGACTGGGAGAACAAAATCAACTGGCTACGTAACTGCCACGTTTTGTCCTGTAGCCTATATGTGGCGTCATCATTCCTATTTCTGAATTTGACTATGGTGGCCCTACTCGCGCCCGCGCAATCCGCGCACGCGTCATCCGCGTGACAGTACGAGTACAACCCGCGAGGCAGCGCTTACAGGTCACTGTCTGCCTGTCTGGACGATTAAAGCATTGTTTGAACTTTCTAGAAGCTCAACAACGCACCAATGTTTACTCGCTTTCCCCTCGTTCATATTCCATAGGTGCCAGCTACTTCATTATCTCATTAAAATTCGACATTTCCTTTGCACCTTCTGATAAGTCTCATTTGTTGGAAAAATAAAGGATTTTATAATCTCCTTTATCCGTCATTGCCTTACAGCAATTGAGGATTAGGTTTATTTTTGTTCCACTGAGATGTTAACTCAAAAATTTTGAAGAGCAAACACATGTTAACAATGACCATAGACGCAAAAAGTAGGGACAGCTATTATAATTGTATCGGTGCGCCTATGTGTGTGTGTTATCATCATAATTCCTAAACGAATGGATCGATTTTGATGTTTTTTTTAAAGTGAGCTGAAAGTCTTATTTAATTTTCTTTTCTAATAGATGAAAGGATTTTGGGGTCGGAAGGTATTTTTAATTTATGACAGTTACTTAAAACGAATCTCATTTTGGCCAAAATGACCGCAACCGCAATGTAACGTTCTCGTTAGACGCTAGTGTCGTCGACTAGTGAACACTAATGTGATGCTAAATAATTTAGTTAGTACACACAGCACTAAGAACCGTGAGGCCGGTGCGGCTTGAGGCAATTAGCGAAATGGACGCCGGAAAGGCGAACGTACTCAGCTCGCGTGGGTCGAGTGCGGACAGAGCGGGTGAACTCCCACCGGGCGACGTCAACCGACCTCCTATTAATAGTACGACCAGTGGGTAATCAATATTCGCTGTGCAAGCCAACCCTCGCCCGCATCGCGCTTCCTGGAAGCCGCGAGCGCGATTCGGGGACACAACGGCCCCCGGCGGCGCCGCGCCTCCATAAATCTCCGAGGCCGCACCGCTCGCCGCCGCTTCCTTTGTTTTTTTTTCTCGACGGCTCGGTAATAAGATCGCGAGCGTCAACGTCAGGTATAGATGGGCTCGGAGCGGCCGCGCGTGAAATGCATGCGCTGTCTATTGACCGCGCAGATGTACAATTTTAAAAGCGTGTTCGACGGCGACGTGAGACGAAGAACGTGAGTCCCACCGCAGCGGAAATAATTAGTCGTGGAGATAATCGTTCAGAAACTCTGTCGGCGTCGCTCGTTAAACTCGCGCCCATTCGTGTGCTCTCGCAACAACTTGAGCCGTTTACAAAATGAAAACTTCGCGGTGACTAGATTAAACCCAAACCTACTTTACAGAGTTTACAATTTTAATTAAAGTTGAAAGGAGAAAGGGCAAACCATACTGCTACTAGAAAGAGCCTGGGAAAGTAAAGAAGATCGCCAAAATGGTATAAAACTATTCACATACTATGAGTTTTTGACCTACCTTATATTACATTATACATATAGTGGTAGTGTATATATGTAAGTTAGATTTATCCAACATTAATAATATAAACAAGTCAAATTCTCTGTTTTCTCTTGCACCTACAGCTTCATTTTTCTACATCACCCGAAGGTCGACTGGCAGAGAATGCCTTGGGCATTAAGTCCGCCTTTGTACAACTAGTGCATTAAGTTAAATAAATAAATAAATATAGGTACGTGAAGATGTGTACCATAATGCTATAGAATTAAACAAAAAATAATTCCTAGACTGCTTTTTGATCGAAATTTGATCCGCCATGCTAAGCTTGGTAACTTTAACTTACATTGAACCGAGGCCAAATTACATTGAACCAAGTGCGAGTTTATTTCACATCTATTCGATCGTCACGGTGAGTGCGATCGGCGTTGCGATTGGCCCGAGCCGAAATTTTCACCAATGATTTTCACCAAAGTTGATGTGAAATAAACTCTCACTTGGCCCTCTGCTAACCGATGTGATGATTCAAAAAAGGATAGCGCTGTCTCAAAGCAAAAGGGCATCAATCACTGTCTTAACACCGTGAGGACTAACTACTCGTATTTGCCTACTTAGCTGTACTAAAACAACGCTAGTTAACGTCATAATATCTTTAGAAGTACCTACGGTGGATATTGGCTCTAAAATAACAACAAACGGTATTAATATATCCGATATTGAACTCGCAAAACCTTAAAAAACCTGCGTACGAGTGATTAGGTACAACAGAGTGCACACATGCATCAGTAGGTAGGTACTGTGTCGCAAGGCGAACCTGTCTAGTGATAGTAGCGTCTGATCACGGACGCCTGCGCGCTTTGGTGGCGGCGATAACCGTCAGATAATAGACGCAACAGACTTACATAATCAGTGAGCAACATTCGCGAGACTATCGCGACAATTTGCGAAACAAAACTATCGTCCGTGCGAGTCAGCTCTAATAACAGGCTAGTTTATTTTCTCAATATCTTTCGCAACGATGTTCGACTTATACTTGGGTTTGTCAAGGAGTCTGTTAAGCTGATTCATCAAATTACGTAAACTTGTTGTCGCCCAGAGGTCGAAATTCCACCATAATTCACTAAAGAAATTGAACTGTTTAGTCTTTAGAACCAATTCATATTTTTATAAACAATTTACAGTAACACCCTGACAGTCTTGACCTTTACAGAAGCCCGACGACAGGAATTGATTTCTGAATAGCGGCATTATTGTTAAATTAATTAATTAATATGTCAATGTACGCTGTTTTTTTATTGCAATATTCTGACTAACAATGCTTCTGATGTCACTCCTGACTAACAATAACAGATTTTATTTAACTTAGTTCAAGGGCCTCGATTTCTAAACCTTTTAAAATTCTACCTCATTTTGGCAATAGAGTTATTAGTTTTGATATACACCGCAAAGCTTCGGTTCCATTCCGACCCAGGACAAACGATTGTCTGGTAAGCACGATTATTTGTTCTGTGTCTTGGTGTAATTTATTTATATGTTAATGTATCACATACATACGTATGTAACGTATAATTTATTTTTAGTTAGAAATATTTAAGTCTAAGGCTCTGCCTAGTTTGGGATCAGGCTGCCGTGAGATGTGTGAAGTTATTCTATAAAAAAGTGTTTCTCAAGAGGCAGACTCGCTAAATCTTACAAACACACTTTATACAAGTGACGTCTATGTTCTGCTCTCCCACTCCATTCCAAAGCTAACACTCGTCAAAGCCGTAAAGTATATCTTGCTTAACATAGCCAATAGTGTTTGTGATTAGCAAAAAATATATATATATTTCGTTTTCTCTGCGCTACAACATACACATGTCAAAGTTACTTTATTACTACCTAACACTAAAATTCGATCTCGATATGCATAAAAATTACGAGGAAAACGGTATTTTCATTATTTCATTTAACGGTCTCACGCGAACGGTATCCAACGCTATATAAACCGTTTTTTTTAATAGCATTCGCGGATAACCCTTGCATTCCCACGAATATCCGCGACATGGTCTAATATACCTACAGGCGACAGGGCTTTGTGCGGCTGTACAGTTGTACGTAGACAATGTCGCGAGCGCAGCAAAAAATCACCCGCCGGGCCCCGCGGCCGCCACCCCATCGATAAGGCACGTCTCTTTCGACTTTGAGGTCGCTGACTACATAGTAATTGCCACACTTATCTTCCGAATGGGCAGAATATTTGGACAAGCGACAAAACATTTTTTTCTATCTTTTTCCGTAATTTTCAACCAGGTTTATACAAAGCGAAGCTTAGCAACTATTCAAAAGTTAATCGTTGAGTTCCATAAAAACTTTCTCGAAGTAATATTAACCCAAGCAAAAGTTCCATTTGATTTAATAACAATAGTTGTCATTTGAAATACAGATAGTAACGGGTCAGAAATGTCAGGGTATATTACGGAGCTCTAACTAGTGCTGACACGATATAGGCGGTACTGGAGGAATAACTGGATACGGGGTATCACTTATAAAGAAAATCAGTCAATGAAAGGTCAGGGCCGTACTTAGGTTTTTTTTATGTTAGAGGGGGCAAACGAGCAGACGGGTCACCTGATGGAAAGTGACCATCGCCGCCAATGAACGTCTGCAACTCAGGAGTCACAAACGCGTTGCCGGCCTTTTAGGAAGGAGTAAGCTCTTTTCGGTTTGAAGGTCGTATCGGACCGGAAATACCGCAGATGATAACCGGTTCCACATATTGTAGGTCAGTCTTTTTGAAAAATATAAAGTTTTAGCGCATTTATATCCCCCCCCCCCTTCCCCCAATAACGCAAAGACGATGTCGGAGTTATGGAAGGTTTCTCACAATTGTTTTTTTACCAAGAAGCTGAAACAATTACGAAATCATCTTTTAATAGTTAAGACTTGCAATATATCACACTTGCATCTACCTAGTTCACTACTAGTTAAAATGAATAAAATAATAAACAAAATATTGTAGGTTGCAAATAGTATAAGTAAAACGCTAAGAAAAACAGTTCTTTAAATTGTAGAAACTTGCTATTCGCTATATTAAATATAATAATATGCAAAAATACGAGGGATAAGGTATTATAAGAAAGATTATAACTTCGATTTTTGTCAGCCATAACTACGATCCTTGCTGTCTTGCTGGGCCATAGCTGTGCTAACCCGTGGAACACTGTTAGTTAAATTGTCCATCGTTATGTTATTTGTGTAAATTACATACATAAATTGTTCGTTTGATTAACTTACTATTCGTTTAAATCACATTACGCTATTTAAATTCCGAAATAATAGAATTACAACCGGTTTCTGAAAGATTGATCTATACAAAAATGTACTAATCGGATGGCATGTGTTTGTCAAGTATATAATTGTTTTGCTAAAATAATGATGAGACACTGACACTCTAATGTGACAATCAAATGAGATAACAAAGCTGTCAAATATTACCGTAAAATATTATGTCAAATAAATTTTTGATACTGCTGTTGACTTGACACCTCTGTAAGTTGAATTACATACATATGTGCAGGGTTTTCAAAATAGTTATTCTGATCTGCCTTTCAAAGTACAAAATAAAAATATTACTAAAAATTCCAGTTCCATAGGACCGATCGCATTTTATCGTCCTCAACATCTCATACGCTTTTACACAATTAATGTGTGATGTATTATATTAAAGTTCAGGACTTTATCATGATCACCTTTCGTAAGCCGTATAAATATCTCTCACTGAATCTAGACCATTTTGTCTATACAGGCTTACAATATATTTTTTATCGGAATAGTTATTCTATGGACTAGACATAATTTGTCAAAAGTCAGAACGCCAATGGTCAGATAAAACGATGACGGTAGATTTCTGAGATAAGTTGGATGCAACCGGAAGACCGGGTTTAAATTCAATTAGACCTACGTCCGGAAATAGACATCGATAACTTATCCATTTGAAAAAATAACAATTATTAGCCTATAATCGATTTCTTCAATTGCTAATTGCTTTGTTGCTTTGTATGTAGAAATTTACAAAATATTTATAGAAATTTGTTGATTAGCCAAAATTTATTAAATTGTAGTGCATCTATGGCAAATCCATTAACTATTCGACCCAAAAGATTTAAAAATCGTAAACAGAATAGATTGCTTTTAATGGACTGAATTAATTACTAAGAAATAACCAAAAGCTTTGAAAGCAACAGGATATATGCATACTTGATTATTTAATTTGCCGAATAGCTGCACGATAAACAGCTAAGAGTAATATATTTGGGCGACGCGGTAGATTTCAGACAGATTCAATGTCAGTGCCTAGAAAGAATTTGCATAAGTCATCGACCGGCGGCGATGTCGATGAGTTATTTGTGCGCCGATAACAACACTGATTACCCGATGAGTAACCTACAATAACATGATAACAAATCTCCTTTATTGCACAATTGTTTTATGTGCTTCACTTTATTTTTCTTGGCAACTTTTAATTCTTAATTTTATTTATACAAACTTAATTAATACAAAATAAAGCGCCGATATCGATAGCACCTCTTCACAAACAGCCTTTAATAGTCCACTGCTGGATATAGGTATCTACATAGAAAGGAGGTTTTGCTGACCAAACGGGTTGGTACAGGGTTTGTGACAAGTTTTCCTGCTCTTTGCAGTGCTATTGTCCAGCGTAGTTTTCTCCTTTAGTCGGCTCTTACGACACCCACGGGAAGGATAGTTTTCTCCGTTCTTGACTATTTCAAACTTCTTGTTCATGTTTAAGTAGACTTTTTAGAGCTGTATGTGTGAATGATGGGCTACTTTAGTAAGGTATGGTTATTATATTCCATTATGCAAGTTGGCTTATAAGTTATAAGTTCCATAAACATGGAGGAATTTTTGAAGGGCTTAATGCCTACATCTAATTCAGTTTTGTAGAGTTAGCTCTTACCATATCCATTACTAACCATATCTATAACATAGTGCATTTTAGACGTGAGTTTTTACATAACATGTCGGCGACAAGACGGCGCGCGACGAGCGAACGGCAGCAAAATTATCGCAGCGAGGAACCGCCGGATGGCATATACGTCGCGCATTTACATTCACGCATTTTACGCGTCCGTCGGCGACCGATCGCCGCCTCCGCGCCGCCATTAGCGCGACACAGATACGTGCAGGCTATAACTTGAAGGGGCACGGCCGCGAAAATTGCTGCCATCAATCCTCGAGCCGAGCGACATGTTGCGATCGGTATTCATGCGTAGGGGTGGCAGAATAAATTCTCTTATAACTTAGATGTCATTATTTTCTGTACGCGTTGCGACGAACCGATATCGGTGTGAGTCCGCCTTTATTATTTTGTACTTGCGTTACTTGAAAGCAACACATACCACAGCACGGGTGTTTGAGTAAACTCTAAGCATCTACACTCATCATAAAAAGTTAAATAAGCCCTAATGAATTCCTATATTTTATGGCTGTTTGTTCACACCGAGCAAAGACGATGCAAAGTAATGTTTACTTCCTAAAAAAATATTTAATTATATTAGAAAGAGGACTTGTATGGTAGGTAAAACAAGGTGTTAGTAAGTAAGTAAATAGTTGAATAGCATATTTTGTCATGAACTTATTGAAAGAATAACTAACAAAAATAACTACAAATTTGTTATCTAACAACGTAAACATTCTACATAGAAGACATTTACGAGTAAAGATAACTGTACCGTTACATTGTAGCAGGGAAGTACGACTAAATTACCGTCTAATCTTTTAAATCCAATTCTACGAAAGTACAAACACATCCGCGGGTTGCGCCGGCGCAGGTACCCGCGACACGTACACACCAACTCTTTGAAGCGCAAAAAAATAATAGGTACGCTATATTATTAGCCGCGCGGGGCCTTCCGACTTTGGCTTTTGTTTTGTCTGTACCTGACATCTGCTGGCTCATTATATGCCTCTACCTGGTATCGCCGCGACCGAGTAACACCCGCGAAGGTACGCGACGTTGCCATTTCGTACTGAGTAACACATTTACATGTAACTGCACCGAGGGGGTAGTTGCACCAACTAGGCGCCCACTAAAGCGTTGAATTTATCTTGTCGTATTTATGGATGTAACAATTCATTCGTTTACTCGAAATAAGCCTTTAAATACTTTTAATATACGATAAAATAATAGTACAAAATATTAATTAACGCGAAAATAAAGTACATTTTAAATCAGTTGTAAGTACTGAAACTCGTATATTTGCTTTATGAGCAAATAGTCTACAGTAAGTATTGGTCCATATTCTATTTAAAGAATATTGTATAATAATATTGTAACAAACAGGTTGATGAACAATAACTCAACCACATTAGTTTAATTATTCATCATCGAAGTTAAAAATGGCGAAGATAGAAGGAACTCAGATTCATCATCATCAGCAGCCTTTAGTAACAGACTGCTGGACATAGGCCTTTCATTAGAAAGGAGGTAAAGGAACTCAGATTAAGGAATAACAATAATGGTTAGCAGGGGGGCTAACGAAAGAAAACTGTACGAAATACGAAATGTTAGTCTTGTATTTAATATTAATAAAATAGAATTATTTCATTGGATTAAACATGTCATCATTTGATTATCAAATGTCAACCTTACTCCGTTAAACTCTAATAATCATTGGCTTTCTATTCAAATTTGGAGTCATAGATACAACGTTATCTCACTCTATTTCTCTCTGTAGCCTATTCTCCCAGCCCTTTACCATCGAGTAAAGTGAAGTAACGAATGTTGCATTTTTACACTTATGTATGTCCAGTATTCGCGGTTGACAATTAAATTGTTCGATTTATTATTATTTTATTATTTCGCGTAAATATACACATTTACATTTCTATATCCATGTGAGCTCACTTGGAACAATAGATCTTTTACTCTGTAAGGCTAACTTGTATTGCTAAATTGACCACACACAACTGTTTAATATACCTTAGGCAAGTATTCTAACGATATAAAAAGACCATAAAAGTATGTAACCTCTTGCTTAAGTAGGTGCCTTATCACGGAACCACATTTAAAAAATACCTGGGAATATAAAACACTCAAAATGTTCCAAAAATAAACTACAGTCTCTCCCTCTCTCCAAATAAAGTACAGTTCTCTTAAATAGATTATTAAATCTATTTATATCGAATCAGATATGAAAAACATGTCGAAACAAACTTAAAAGTGTTAACATCCTAATTATCGAAATCCAAAAAGG